AAGGGGGAGAAGGGCCGGGAGTACATGTAGATGCAGGGAATAAAGATCATAGACACCACGATGATGTGGGTGGTGCAAGTAGATGCTGCCTTTCTCCTTGCCTTTCCTGAGTGGGACCTCAGCATCACCAGGATAACAGTATAAGAGATCAGAAGGAGAAGGAACCAGATAAGAACCAGCAACCCACTATTGGAGATCATAAGGAATTCTAGGAGGGAGGTGTCTGTGCAGGCAAGTCTCAACATTTGTGGAATGTCACAGTAAAAGTTATCCAGGACATTGGGACCACAAAAAGGCAATGGGAGCATCAGGGCCAGCTGGACAATGGAGTGAACAAAGCCCCCGACCCAGGCAGCCAGCACCAGCCCCACACACAATTGAGTGTTCATGATGGTGACATAGTGAAGGGGCCGGGAGATGGCTATGTACCGATCATAAGCCATGACCGAGAGAAAGAAGACAGTGGCACCTCCCAAGAGGTGGAAGAAGAAGATCTGGGCCATGCAGCCCTGGTAGGAGATAGTCTTGGTCTCATGAAAGAAGTCCACCAGCATCTTTGGAGAAGTGACTGTGGAACAGCAGAGGTCTATGACAGCCAGATTTCGAAGCAGAAAAAACATGGGCATGTGGAGCCGGGAGTCAATAAAACGGAAGCGAGTCGCAAACTGACATTCTGTCCTTAAAGAGAAATGGAAATCCCTGTGTGCCTGGCCCCTTTGTTACAACACCTCCCATGCCGGATAATTTTTTTTCTTATTTCTAGATTATCTCCCCACTCCAAGATGACCTGACTTGCTTCAGCTAACTCCAAGTCAGGGCCAGCTAGAGAGCTGAGACCGAAGGACAGATTCGATTCTCAGATTTTATGTTTGCTGTTAACATGGTCTTCTCAGTTATGTGGCTGAATTACAGAACATGTCCCCATCTTCGGAGAATGAAGAGTTTAGGCACAGAGGGGGCTCGGGACTTACAGGACATGTTTGCAGGTCATGTCCGCGGATTTAAGGCAGAAAGGTAGCATTTACATACTCTTCCTGTTACAACTTTCTAGAAAGATGACCTTGCCTGAGAACTGAGAAGAGGGGTGAGGGGCTGGGAGAGCTCAGAGAGCCCCCTCTTCCCTCCACTGGATACCAATATGGTGACAAAAGATGGACAGGCAGTGGGCGTTGTGGAAAGCACTGGAGGATAATCGAGAGGCCCGGTGGCAACAGATGGCCCTCAGGCTAAGTCATTGTGTAAGTCCGAGCAAATCACGTCATTTATCTCGGTCCTGATTTCCTCATTTTCAAAATGAGATCGCGCTCGTAATCGTCATGGTTTTCCAGCTTGGAAATGCTGCTTTCGTGGATAAATAAGGCATTTCTAGGACCCACGTAAATCTACAGCGAACCCCCAGAAGTCCTAGGAATCCATTCGGGTATTTTCTACAGGAGGTTGAAGTCCGCACAGCATCGGACGGCTTCGGGGTTAGGTAGGTGGCAGGTGGCGTGTGCCGTGTGGCCGCTCCAGGAACACGTGCGCGCTGGTAGTCGTGGGTCCTGCTGTTGTTCTGTTTCTGATCGAAAGGATTATAAGTGTCACATGAAATCGTAAGGGAGTCATCACATAACACAGAGTCTACGATAACTGTGGAAACGAGACCCTTTACACACGGGAAAAGAAGCAGAATGCACGCTTAAACCATGGTTATGTTTGGATGAGGCACTAAGAAGCTTTTTCTTCCCCTTTTTCCTACTTCTTGGCATTTTTATGTTTTTCTTGGAGTATTAACTATTTTATAACCCATCTAGTAAACATTATTTATTTTGAAACATTTCGTACTTAGGCACAAGATGAACTTCTCTTATGCCCAACAATAATAGTGTTGACATTATTGGGGCACGCTCGCCAGTTTAACGAATCTTGAGAAATGCTTCCCACTTATATCGACATTTAATTGCTATGCAAACACTTACTTTTAATAGAAAAACTGGAGGCAAAGGCAACATTCAGTTTTGTCATCTCCTCGGAAATATTTTAATGTAGGTGATCCGTTTGAATTCCACAGGCGACAGTGGTCACAGGGAGAGAGTATATAGGAAAACTCTTCTATTTAGCAGAATTCAGGAAATCCGAGCCCTTTGGAAAAGAAATCCTCTATTTTTAGAACACTCAGCAGTTAAAACCATTTGCTGGTCTTCGAGCCCCAGACGTTCCACACATTAATTTCTTTTGTAGGACAAGTTGAAAAAAGGACCCAGCTCTTTCTGGCAATAAAAGGGTCATTACGCCCTCATCTTGGTTTGAAATTCCTCATTTTTGGTTGTTTGCGTTGGTTCTTAGTCAACACTCTTCTCACTTTATATTTCAAACACAGTCAGTTCACGTTATTCTATTTTTAGTTCGAACCCTTTTTCCCCACCCTGCGCTGAAATCGGGAGATCGGATTTCGCATCCAGTGTGCAATCGCTCGCCGGAAGCCGGCTGAGGTCTCTCTCGCACCCCGGTTTTCTGCTGGAAAACCTGTCTTCCCTCTCTGAGCGGACACACGAGCAAAGCTTCTTCTCTGCCTCTCCCACAGGGGCATCAGGGAGACGCCGTTGGGCAGGGGGCGCCTTCTGGATCCTGAGCATCGATGGCAGCCCGGCTGGCCTCCGTGTGACGTGATGCTTCCCACGGGAACTCGGTGATGGGAGCCGGCAGCGGGAACCCTGCCATCGCCTTCCGCCCGGCAGGGCCCCTCGGCTCGTCCTCCTGAGCGATGTGCTCTCCCCGAACCTGTCACTTAGGCTTCTGCCACCAGCGGTCCCCATTGGCTCCTCGCAGCAGCATTTCCCAAAGTAGCTCTTACTCCAAGTGCTCCGATGAGATCGCCCAGCAGCTCTGGGTATCTGGAACTTGGTAGGGTCCTTGGTGCTTCTCCGGGCACTCTGACCGCGGAGCCACGTGACATCCGCTGATGCCTAGAGAGCCGAGGGCTGTTCTAAGGGGCGACCTCGGCCCAGGCCACGCAGAGCCTTGTGCTGACGGGCACCTCGTTACCAAGCTCTTTTGATGCATATCATTTGTTCATTCATTCATTCATTCATTCATTCACCTGTGCCGACGGGCACCTCGTTACCAAGCTCTTTTGATGAATATCATTTGTTCATTCATTCATTCATTCATTCAAAAACCGTTCACTGCATGTCAGTTACATGCCCGACAATCTGTTATGTAGTCATGATTCCCAAAGGGATTTAGAAGTCGGCTGAGCCTCTGAGAAGACTAGTAGGAAAGATCCAACTTAAAAACAAAGCAAAACAAACAATAACATTGCTTAGGCTACATCCGAAATGTGTTTAGACAAAGCGTGGAGGACGGAGCACTAGATCGCTGCTCCGAGACCCCTCGGTCTTCACGGAGGACGTGGCGCCGGCTCTTCCGTTGGAAGGAGCTGGACAGGGAGCAAGCAGAGCATGGCCGGGGGCGGAGGTGCTCCGAGGGGCCCGCGACGCTTCCAGCGACGTCGCCACTAAGTTCTCAGGAGCAAAGGAGCGGCAGGAGCTCAAGCTAGAGAGGGAGCCCGACCTCCAGCGTGGGGCAGGTCACGCGTCTTTGCTGAGGAGTTCGTGCGCATTCCGGGAGCACTGTCCCCGCGAGGAGGAAGGAGCAGGATCGACTTGGACAAGATGCCTGTGAAAGGTGCTTCTCTGCAGCGTGGAGGGCGGGCGGGCAGAAGCGATGCCCGCCATGAGCATGAAACGGCTGGGAGGGCGGAGGTCGCCTGCAGCCCCGGAGTCCTGTCTTTTCACAGGAGCAGGGACGAAGGGCCGGCACTTGGCAGGCCCGGGGGCGGGCGGGTAAGTGAACCCTGGGAAGCAACAGTGGACGTCGTCGGGAGCTCTGAGGTGAGCTGTCTTGAGCATATCTGCCCCCCCTGGGGGCCTCCCTGAAGCGAACGCGCGGAGGGAGTGGGGTGCGTTAGTGGCTGAGGTCCCACTGAGAGTTTGAGCCACTGGACTTGGATTTTGCCTTCTACGTGCAGGCTGGTAGACATGGGGGCATTGAATTTTTGAGTTCGGAGGCTGAGACACAGTGTAAATGAAGTGTTTGTCACACAGTGTTTAACTCTTTAAAGTGATATTTTATTTCTTCCTGACATAGAAAGTAAAACTCAGAGAGGCTGAGTGATTTTCCCGACATCACAGAGTAGCACTCCTGGCTGCTTGTCTAAGAGCCTCTCAGCATCTCGGATTAATTTCCAATTCTGTCTCCTACATGAGAAGTTGTTGAATTTCTCCTGGGAGTACAGTAGTTACTTGTGATGATGAAATTCAAATATTGTCCCTTAATGAACAAACACAACAAGTTTCTATACTAATATTTGTATAAAAATGTGGTTTTAGCAACTAGTCACTTTAGGTCTCTGTTTCTGTCCCCACCCCACTCTATTTATTTTTCAAAACCATAAAAGAAATGAAAGCGTATAAAGTCCAAACACAGACACATTTACATACACACATCAGGAGACATAACATGAGGTTTTCATAAACGTCACTCCGCCGCGTGATATGTATTCTGAGTTAAGTACCCCGCAAACATCATCACATATGATCTTCCAAATGACATGTCTTTTATGTGGTGTGTGGGCAATTTTGCAATTATGTGTTTCTCATGTGTTACGAACTTGTGAAAGTGGTTCAAACCATATTTTCGTTGTTATATATAAAAAAAAAAAATGGCATTAAGCGCCCACACGTGCAGTGTGTCATCCCAGACGCCGGGGGCGCTGCCGGTGAGCCCGGTCAATATCCCACCAGGGAGCAGCGGGAAAGGAGGATCTATTGACTTAGCAAGATCGAAGGCGTCACGACAGATAATCTAGGAGAAATAGGTTGATGTATTCTTCCCACCTGTCCTTCCTCCACGCGTACGCCTCACCAGGTGGTCACCGTGCGACCGCCAGCTCCCTAGAGGCCAGTGAACTGAGACCGAGACAGAGGTGCGTGGTCGGGGTTGATGGCTGTGCTGCGGAGGAAAGATCCGCAGGTTCCTAACGCAGGAGCCCGTGAGCCGCAGAAGTCCCCAGGACGGTTCCGTGTTTGGCGGTGGCCCTGGCGGCGTCTCCCGGGTTCTGTCATTTATTTCAGCCTCCCTCCAAAGAAAAGCCCCCATCACCCCCTGTCTCCTCCTTACCCATGATCGAGGCGGATTCTGTCATTTGCAACCTAAAAGGCTATTTGAGCACAAACGGCGATTAGTCTAGAATATACAAGGGGTGCCTGGAGAGTATGAGATCACCCCACGACCATCTGCTTAGGTCATGAAGAACTTTGCAATCAAGGAAGCAGACCGCCTGGCGAGTCGGGAGTTTCCGGGTACTGGGGGTGCTTAAGCAGGAACCGAGTGACCATATGTCAGGACAGCGAGGCTGTGGCAAGCCTGGGTGGATGAGCGACAAGGCCATGGTTTTATGATGGCCGATTACGTTATTACACAATCGAGCCATGTAAATAGATGGCGACATGCACAGTCAACTGTGCAAATATTAGACATAGATCGAGCGAATGATTGAGATTATATATCTGTGCCACGACAAGAATTTCTGGTGTGGCACCAAGTCCAGAGTGACAATATATGAGTTCTATGTTCAGAGATTAAGATAAAGTGACAAA